AGATTAAAATGAATTCCCGGGCAGCAACACATTAACACATGAAAGTGCATAAAAAGTCAGAATAAAATCAATCCAATTTTGTATCGGTAACCACCAAATATGCTAACAAGCTCAAACATACATTAAGTTGGAATTAAATCACCAAATAAGAACCACTTACCATCTCCAGGCAACAACTTTACATCTTACGAAATGCTCAAAAAGTCGGCTTAAAATCAACAGAACTTGATACTGGTATCAACCAAATATGCTAACAAGCTCAAATATGCATTAATGATTAATTAAATCGCAATGTAAATGCAAAAATCATTTTCCAGACAACATTGAATTAACAAATGAAATGCAGAAAAAGGTGGCTCAAACTCATTCAAACTTAATACCGGTGACCACCAATTGTCCGCTTAAGTTCAATAAGGCATTATTCAAGAGTTAAGTCTCAATGTGTATGCAAAAAAAAATTCCAGACAACCATGACATATGTATTGATGCTTGCTAAAAATCAGTTCAAAAATAACGTTTCAATGCACAAAAGCTAAGCATCAATACATGAAAAACTAATTGGAATTCACAAATTAATTGTATCCAAAAATACGGAACCGGTACCAACACTTCCAAGTATCAAAACCAAAATTAATTACGCGTTGAAACAAGTAAACACCTCAAAATTTGATTCTGATTCATGAATTTAAACAAATTTCAACAAGTATCGGATCAGAAACAAATTACGACGCGTAAATCATAACACAATTGAACAATTAATTTTGACGCGTAGATCTCAACAATCAACCATAAATAAATCAACTGATTCCGCATTTATTCATCATCAAGCTTCAAGCATCAATTAAAATCTAAAAAAAAAAACAATTCAAGCAAAATCACTTAATTCCAAAAAGCACTTATTCTTCATCATACAAGATCCAAGTTATGTTGAACAACACAAATTCAACTTAAATCAACAAATCACCAATTAATTCTCATGCAAAATTAAATCAAACAAGGAATCAAGAGGAGTTACCAAAAATAGAATCGGGGAAATTGAATCAGCGGAGATGAATGAGAACAATGGAGCAATCAGAAGTAGAGGAAGTATCACGGCTAGGAGGTGATTGTATGAGATGGAGGGCGTCGAATTGGGAGGAGGGGGTTCTGAGCGGGAAGCTCGGCCGGTTGCTCGGTAAGGAGGAGCCACGGGAGGTCGATTTCTCAGCGGGGAAGAGCGGTGGCTGGTCAGTTGACTTGGTGGAGGAGTTCCGATCTGAAGTTGGGAGGGTGAGGAAGGAGAATTTGTGACATTTGTTCTTTGAGAGTTGAGAGAGAATAAAGAGTTTTTTGAGAGAATTTTTGTTATAATGAGCCAAAGTGATTATGATTTTGAATGCAAACAATTTATAGAAGTGACCTAAGGCCACGTTTGGAAAATGAAAAAAAATGAAAATTCCCTTGTTTTTTGTTAATAGTGCAGAATTTTCAGCTTATTTCATATGCAACTCGAGAACAAACCACAAGGTCATGACTTTCGGTGCATAATCCTGACACGAAACCTCAAGCAAAATTGTAAGTGGATAAATTTATGACGTCGTTCCGAAATAATCAACATGATACGATAAAAATTGAGATAGTTATGAATTTTACAGTGGTGAGAAACTTGAGCCAGAAAACCCTTTGTTTTGATCGCACGGTTTTTCCGTTGTACAGTTTTGAGAAACGAGCCATAAACAAAAGCCTTTGGAGCATAATCTGAACACGGGACCTGAAGCAAAGTTATAGCTAAAAATATTTGCGACATCATGCTTCAAGAATCGTCTCAAAATGTTGAGAAATGAGAAAGTAATGATTTCTTTTAATATCGAGAAAATAGTCGACTAGGCATCCATTTCACTGTGGAATTTTCAAGTAATTTGCACTTTTAGAGATCTTCTTAAAAGAATTGGCTTCCGACCCGAACATATGAAATGTAAAGGATGTAAAGACGGATTTAATGCCCAAAGAATCACTTGAAGATAAATTTTCTGTCACAAGTTATGAATTTTTGAATATCCGAGAAACAGTGAACCAACAAATTTAAATTTACGAGTATTTGCATATTCAGAGTTTTTCTTCAAAGAATTGGCTCTTGATGCAAACATATGAACTGGAGGAAATTCCAAGATGCTTCTTACGCTTGAAGAACCACTCCAAAATACTTTTCCAATCAGAAGTTATGAATTTTCAAATATCTGAGAAATAGTGGACCAGTAGTTCACTTCACAAAACAAACTTTAGGTTTTTCGCGCTTTTAAAGATCTTTTGTACTGAATTGGATCTCGACATGAAAATATGAATTATAGGAAATAAAAATACAGTTCTTATGACTGAAGAATCACTACAAAATACTTCTCCGGATGAAAGATATGAATTTTTGAATTTACACTGAAATACTGCTTTTCTACTCAAACTGTTCCGAATTGACTGAAATGCTTGATTTTCTCTGTAATTCAAAACATGTTGGAACATATGGGAACTTGGCATGTTGAGGACTTGACTGTCCACTGATTAAATAGCCCGGAGAGCGCTCTGAGCGCGTTAACTAGCGAAATAAATGTCTTTTGTAACCTGACCAGACCTAACAAAAATGCCTTGATCCCATAACCATAGAACCAATGATATGTATGCATGTGTATGATGATGAAATATAAGCCAAATAGTGTTGAAATTGTTGTGAATTCAATGCCAATATCAAAGTATAGAATAAGGGAGGAATAAGGAACAAGGAAGAAGAAGAACACAAGAATTGGTTAGAACTGCTATTCTTTACTTTCTCTTTGAAAACAAGATTACAAGTTTACAAGAATAACAAATAACCCTCTCACCCTAAATTAGGATTTGCTGTGTTGCAATGATGAGAGACTAGTACGCTATTTATAATAAAACCTAACATACTAACTAATGGGCTTTTTCCACAAGGCCCATTATACAAGCTAACTTAATAAACAAGCTAACTTAACAAATTAGGGTTTAAACATTAAAACCTAATTTAACAAGCATTTTCGACAAATACATGCTAGACCCTTCTTCGACTATAGCATGTACTTCGATCATACTAGAGTTTGATCCAAAATCCCACAGAAATGAAGAGGATATATTTTGGGGTATAACATAGGGGTCATCTATTATTGAGAAAAACATCTCAAAATGCCTATTCCTCAATTTTTTATTAAGGTAGAAGTGTACTTTAACAGAGACAAACCTCCCGTTGACTTCCAACTTCTGAATGACACCACATATCTCGCCAACTTGACATTCAAGTTGAATAAATTTTTGCTTGATACCGATAGCAAAAGGTGAGAAAGATCAAGTTTCGTAAAGATTGAATTGATAATAATGAAAGGGTGAAATACAACCTTATTGAATTGAAGATTGGTGAAGATTTGACGATCATGTGGAGATCATTTCGTTGTAGGCTAACTAAGGGTCAGATCGAGTCTGATGCAAGGATTTTAAGATCTGTCGACGACATAATTAAAATGTTGAAACATTTAAAATCATCTGGTAGTGTCTAGGTTTTCATGTTTTGTTATTTTTACTTTATGTTTGTTGTAATATTTTAAGTTATGTCCATCTTTGAAACATGTAATCGACAAAATATTATGTAATAAAAGGTACTGTAATAAACAAAGTTTAAAAATTATCAGTAAACTTTCAACACATCATGGAACAATGATAAATAAATTGAAGTTAAACATAAAATATATATACCTCTCTCTGCCATAATTTGTATACGACATAGTCAACATACACGGTGAACACTGATAAGTCACTAGGTCCTTCCAAGAACGCTTCATCAGTGTGAATAAATGCCTTTGTTAAAGCACAAGTTGTAACGTCTGTATCATCACCAGTAGGAGTATCATCATCAGCAATAGGATATATGGGAGCCACCTCATGAGCAACTTCCACATCAGTAACCAACACCTCCTCCACAACAGGTACCGCATTTGAAACAGACACCTCCTCAATAATAGGTACTGCATCAACAATAGATAATGCATCAACAACAAGTACCTCATCAGCAACAACCTCAACATCAACAACCTCAACATCAACTCTGAGTTACTCGTCTAATCTCACTGCTCGGTGTCGGGGAGCGTGGAACTGGGTCTGGGCATGCTTAGCCAACTGTTTCTGGTGAGAACCAATTGGAGCTACCCGTCTAACCCGTAGCTGGGAAGACTCTACCTTAGCGGCCATAACCTGACTTACTGCTCTATCAATGATCCTGCCTCCAATAGTCTCGTCCTTTTCCATGGTCTTCATAGCAAAATAGAAAAAATGACAAAAATCAATGAATTACGATCGTTTTTCAAGTTTCTAAGTCAATATCAGAAATTATGAAATTTCCAAAAGTTTTCAAATTTTTTTGAACTACCAAAAATTCTAAAAATTTCGATACAAATGGATTCAAAAAATTCTGGAATTTTCAAAATTTTTGATAAAAACTTCTGGAATTTCCATGATTTCCGATAAAAACTTCCAACATTTTCAAAAAAAATTGGAAAAACTTCCGGCAATTTCGTAATTCCTAATAAATTACTCACTTTTTCAAAATTTTCCAGTAGAATCTCAAAATTTCCGGTATCGTACTAGAGATTTCAAAATTTCCACTAATTTTGAGTGAATTTTAAAAATAGTCACAAAATTTGGCAAAACTATTAGTCTTTTCATTGAGTTTGGGGGTGCCAAATTTAAGTGGCAAGTTAAATCTTCTAAGAAATTTGATTTTTAGCTTAGGCCCAAAACCCACCAATTTCATTTGGAGCATGTGTGTTTGTTTCACTTCTATCCACAGACTTTAGAAACTATTATCATGTAACATAATCAATGTGAGCCAATCAAGAAAAAACACTTTCTATCATCATCTTCAATCCCAAACATCTTCCAAAAACCAAAACAATCGAGAGAATATTCTATAGCAAAAATTACTGTTCACAATTGTTGTTCATTCATTCTTATGGTTGCCTCAAATGTTGCGTGGTTCACTCTCAACACCAACAACTCAAACTCTTAAAGCAGCAGCAACAACAAGAACAACAACAATTACAATGCTTTGGTCATCTCGTAGATTATCATCAACACATTTTTGTCTTTTTAAGGTACCACTTCTCTACCTTCATGCTCTTCTTTTTCAATGTTTATGTGACTAAGTGTTGTCCCTTGTTTTTTTCTTGAAGAATCTTATAGCAGGTAATACAAGATTTTCCTCAAATGAGAGTTGTTTTCTCAGAGGTCGCCAAATTAATATCAAACAAGTTTTTGGGCTTATCTCTCGTCGACCTCCAAGAAATAAAGCAGGTTCTACTTTACTGTCAATGGTTCATATTAGTAACATTGTTCCTTAATGAAACTTCATGATTTTACCGAATTGCAATCGATGGCCGTCTTTATAAGGCCCAAAATTCGCCATGGTTTTATCGTGGCTAGATAAGACCTCATAAAATATTTGTTATAGTTTAGTTGCGGTAAAATAGGGCCTCTACACATAGGTTCTAAAAATTTAAGACGACTCTGATGCAATCATATAGCAAAGTACCATGCAAGGGATGTAACAAAATAGTTGATTGTAACATTCACATTTCAATGTTTATTGTGTGCAGGATTTGTTGTTTCTCCAAGATGTGTCCTGCCACTGACAGAAGAGAATGTGGAAAGGGTTTTGGATGAGGTGAGGCCTGGCTTGATGGCTGATGGAGGGAATGTGGCCTTACATGAGATAGATGGTCTTGTTGTTATCCTCAAACTACAAGGAGCATGTGGATCATGTCCTAGCTCAACAATGACATTAAAGATGGGGATTGAAACTCGCCTTCGCGATAAGATTCCAGAAATCTTAGAAGTTGAGCAAATACTTGATACTGAGACCGGTCTTGAGTTAACCGAAGAAAATGTTGAAAGTGTATGGAGATTCACGCTTTATATATCATTTTTTGCATTTCCGGATTCTAAATCTTATAGTATTATTCATATTTTCAGATTCTTTCGGAAATTAGACCATATCTTATTGGCACTGGAGGAGGAACATTAGAGCTTGTTGAGATCAGTGATTATACTGTTAAAGTTCGGTTAAGTGGACCGGCAGCAGGAGTCATGACCGTTCGCGTTGCCTTGACGCAGAAGCTGAGAGATAAGATACCTTCTATTGCAGCTGTGCAGCTAATAGAATGATGTAACATATTAGTTCTTTTCTGTTTTTGATGATTCAATACAAAGATGTAAAATTAAGACATCTATCACATTAAGGGTCGAATATATAGCATGAGAAAAACAAGGTCGTTGTGTTGCCACACCTATCCATCAAAAAATTTATGTGTTTACCATTTCTCAACTGTCACACAATATGTTGTTGAAATAAGTCCCGCATACCTGCTAATGCTTTCCACAAAGGTGAGTCATAACGTTGAGAACTTAGAGCCACCCAAAGGTCTTTATTCCTACCGTACTTGTTTTAGAGGACTTTGCTCAGCAGATCATATGGTCTATTAATCATATTTCAGAGCATCTTCATAAAGAAAGCCATGTTCATCTAATGAGGGTTCCTTTATTGTGTAATAGAAGGAGTTAGTTAGTTGAGAAACAGTTATAAGTTTGTTAGCTGTTAGAAGGGCAAGTTATTGAGTTAGTTAGTATGTAACTTGTTCAGCAAGTAACCTTGCATTTGTCTTTGTATAAGTACCCGTTGGTACATTGATGAATAAACAAGTGTGACCCTTTTTGATCTAACAAGTGGTATCATCACTCTTGTTGCGATGCTTTCCTTCGGTTAAACAAAAAAACTGCAGTTAGTTTAATTGTTGAGTCTCTTTCGTTTTTCTTCTGCCATATTCTTCTTCTTTTTTCACCTCTTTTTTCTTGATTTATGCTTGCTTTCTCACCACTCACCATGACTGAACTCTCACAAGAACGTTTCATACAACTTGCAATTCCAAGATTTGATGGATTTTATGATCATTAGTCCATGCTAATGGAGAATTTGTTGCAACCAAAGGAGTATTAGGGACTGATGAAAATGGCATCATGGTAGCACCTCCAAATGCGACCCAAGAACTGTTGAAAGTTGTGAAGGAAAGCAAGGTAAAGGATCTGAAGGCCAAGAACTACTTGTTTCAATCCATTGATAGGTCAATCTTGGAGACCGTTCTAGTGCGTGATACAACAAAAGATATTTGGGATGCTATGCACTTCTCTCTCAACCAAAATACTTTAAACCCCTCTGATTTCTTCACCATACCAGATAAACCTTTTGAACCCTATCCCACATCCTTTAACCCATCTTTCTTCAAATTGATGTTCGCAAAAAACCCTTTGCTGAGTTATTATATCGTCTTGAACATCATGCTCTGAACGCACGTCAATATGCTTTGGAGAGTTCTCCGTCTAGCATGGATTTTGAAAGGACAGATGTTATCTAGAACAGTTTCAAAAAGTGGATGAATGGTAACTCTAACATCATTCATGCCTTCTATCACCAAGAGGCTGTCAAGAAGCATAAGGCTTTGATTGAGGCTACGACACCAACCCTAATTCCTTTTTGTTTGCCTGCTCCAGAAGTTCCTGAGGTTAAAGAGCAACCTACTGAGGATGTTGCAAAAGCCATTGCTTTTGATGCTTTTGGGTTTGTGATGGCCTTGCAGGAAGATAGTCAACCATCTGGGTCTTGGAAGATGGCTATGGAAGTTGAAGAACCAGCTGGGCTGAAGGAAACTTTAGAAGATCTGAAGCAGGCCAACCTCCTCATTCAGAAGCGCTTGGATAAGCAAGATGAGAGGATTGATGCTCAGAGTGCCTCATTTTCTGACCTCTCCAACATGCTGAAGACTTTCATGGAGAATTTCAAACCAAAGCCTTAGACCGTTGTGTTTAGAACTTTAGAAGTTTTTTCTTTTGTTTCTAAAACAATTATATCTTTATCCTTTGTTTTTATTGAAAATTTCTTTTGTCTTTTTAATCTTTTTTGATTTCTGACAAAGAGGGAGAAAGTAATATATTTTGATATATCTATTCTCATAATCTTGTTCTCAAACATGCTCTAATGCTTTTGCTTCTAACCATAGTTTGATGTTTGATTCAGGAACTTTGTGAAAGTTCACTGATTTTTTAAGACAGGTTATTTGGAATTCATAAGGCATGATCAATGTTAGATCCGCGGTTTTGTGATTGACATAAATTTTGCTAAAACATGGTTCTAAATAGATGTTGAGCAAGATGTCTTAACATTTTGACCAACTGTCATGACATGTTCTGCTGTCATGTATATTAGACAGATGTTGAGCCAGATATCTTGACATCTTGGCCAATTGTACAACAGGTGTTGATGTTATGATTCTTGACATATTTGATTTGATTTTGTGAGATCCTATTTGATATATCTCACTTATTTTCGCAGGTCAAGAGATTTTATTAAGAACAATGCAGATTTGATTTGGTTTCATTAAAAATTATCCTTGAGACTTTTTAGGAAACTTTGAAGATTTGTTCATATTTTTGTGTGAAGATCTTACAGTTGGTTTAATTTAGAAGATGAGATTTAATAGAAGATTCCAAGCCCATTATGCAAGAGTCTATAAATAAGGACTTTCTAAACCTAAAATAGCAAGCTTTCACAATAGGAAACCATGACTGTACAAGGATTTTGGGTTTTATGAGTCTTTTAGAGTTTTTGTGTGTTCTTTGTATGTCACTCATGTATCTTTGATACATTGAGATTGATTGATTGTTCTTAGTTTAAAGCTTTTAAGCAAAACTAAGTATTGTTCTCACTCATGAGCTTTTAAGCAAATAGTTGAGTATTGTATTTGAAGTGTAATATTTTATTTGTTTATTTTGTTCTAGTCACGGGTTAGTGATTGTAGTTATCACTGCGTTAATTGGAAGTGAGAGGGGGATCTCATATCTAGAAGATGCCTATGTAGAAGTTGCACAAGGTAGTTGTAACGGTAGAAATGTTGAGACTAAGCCATTGGATTGACTTAACTCGCACAGATCAAATAAAAATTACCACCGCGCTTTATTATTTCCAGAGGAATAGGAAAAGAGCGAATAAACCCAAAAGAGAGGGGGGAGAATCTAGGAACGGGAGTTAGTTATGCAAAGGGAAGGTATTAACACCCTAAACATCTACGGTACTCCGCAGGAACCTCTTTTGAAATTTATGTACTTTGGCTATAAATGGTGTATACAAAAATAGATGGTGGAGATGAGAAAAGAAGTATTTTTTATAATTTTGCACCCGCCGCGGTTGCAAACCTTTAGTGCCTACGTAACACCTTCTGTGCAATAGGTGATCGTGGTACTCGTAGTTCACCTCAAAAGATTTTAAAATACATGTGTGTTGGTTTATTTTAAGAGAAAAGACATCATCGTCATATCCGAGTGGAAAACATACTTACTACCCACGATTATGAGAAAGAAGAATTTGCGTCATCTCAAAGTGGAGGATATAGCTTGGATTTTAAAATTAACAAAGCCTCACTCAACACCCAAGTGGAAAATATCTCACTTTTCTATATATCGTAGAAGTATAGTAGTTCGCATCAATATAAGAATCGACAAGAGTCTAATCTTTTGAGAAAAAGTTTTAAAGTAAAAAAGCGAGTGGAAAATGGTTTGAATGTGTTTGATTGAATTTTAGTCTTCTCACAAAAAAATGTCAAAGTATGATTAAGTTGATTAAAGTTTGATTAAGAAAAGATTTTTTAAAATGCATGGACCTAAGTCCAAGTTTATTATGAAAGCAGTACAAGTTAGAAAACAAGAAGAGTTTTGAAAATGAGGGAGAAGATTTTTGAAATTAAAGAAGATGGGAGGAGATGAAGGGACTATCATAAAGCATAAAGTAAAAAGCTAAGGAAAAGAACCATCTAACCAACACTTGACATAAATAAGTCAATATAGAATTCTCATCCTTTAGATTGAAACCAAGCGAGCAAAGATACTAAACTCTAAATAATACCAAGCTTCAGATGCATTAAGTCTTCACAAAAATTGGGCGGAGTAAGAGCTGTATACAGAGGAATTCTCAATCACAAACAAAGCATATAATCTGAATAACCTGCACACAAAGAAAATCAACCCAATATCTTGGAGTAAACCCCAAGAACTTCATACAAAATAACAAAAGAATCACAAGGTCTCAAGAGTATCAGAGCTTCTCATCCTAAGTCCAAGAGGTCCACAACTCCATAATGCCAAGGGTTGTAATTAAACAGTCCAAGTAATCTTGAAGTTTTTTTAGTGTTCAAGTTGGTTATTAAGTGTCTTCAAAAAGGAAAGAAAGCTCAAGTGAGCAAAATAAAAAAAAAGACATAAAGATAAATGCTTAAATGATCAAAGATAAAATGACATAAAGATAAATGCTTAAGTGAGCAAAGATGAAAATAACATGAAATGCAAATGCTAAAGTAAATGGTGCATAAAAGTAAAGGCATAAAATAAAGGGCATAAATTAAAAACACAAAGTAAAGTCAATTGTTAGTGAATTAGAAGTTACAGGTTAACTGAATGACCATCTTAAAACTTGCATTTGAAAACACATTAAAAGATTGATAAAAACAAAGCTTCTCAACAACAAGTTTCATTTGCTTTTTGTCAAGTATATCATTCATTTCAAGTACTCAAGGCAAGTATATATGACCAACGATGTTTAAACGATTCACTTAGACCAAAATTCATGAAATTTCATTACAGGATTGATAAGATCAAAGCCTCCTAACAATAAACCTCAAGGTTATTGGATCAAAGGTTTCAAACTAAACATATTTGGGACTGCAAACATAGGTTTTGGCCACGAATGATCATCTTTCGAATCGGGGCAAATTTAGCGTTATGTAGAAGTCACACCTATTTTGAGGCCGATCAATAGAAATCTATGTACAACATGTTAGAGAAATGATATGTAGATTATTCTCCAACAACGTGTAGCACAAGTGAGAAAGGGATAAGATGAAGAGGGGAGGGATGTATCAGATGAAATTAGGGTTTCAAATATCATCAACATCATTCATCCATTTTGGCGGGTTTGGTTTTTCAACCTACCAACATCCAAGATCCAATGAGGTTTATGATCTTTTCCCAAAAATAACACCCAAATCCGGATCAAACAAAAATAATAAAATAATATTCAATAATATAATATTTAAATGATTAATAAAAGAGAAATAATTGGTAAA